TCATGAATATCCTCCACATAAGCGTATTGTAGATCTATTGAGTCGTTCTCGAAGATAGAAGTGTATGATTCGCACCTTTTCTTCGCCTCTTTGGACAGATTTGCCGATACTTTCCATACAATCACTGTCACCATAAATATGAGCGAATATTTCATTATTTCATATTCTTTGGCAATTCTTTAAATCGACAAAATTTTATCAAATGAATTGAAATTTTGTTTATATATAATCAACTGACAGGTGCTCTCATCCTATAAATGTATTTGTCATTTACAAAATAAATTACTATTTTTAATGTAATTATAAAATAATACTATATTCAATTATTTAATGATTTCGGTTTTAGCAATAAAATATTAATTTTAAATAAGGAGTTCCTGTTTATTCTAAAATAGATCAGGATCATTCTTTATTTCCTGTATGAATGTAATTCGTAAGTAATTCAATGAGAGCCCACTCTTTATTCATAATATCATATTATACTATAGGATGTTATTTATTTTAATTAATTACATGTACAATTCAAATTCTTTATAAATAACTTAACAGATCCTATAATACTTATATTTTATAATAAAATAATAGCCCGTATAACTTTTAGCACTTAACATTGTGACCATTTTATTGATGTTCATATTTGGAAAGTTCATAATTAATCGAGTATCTATTATATAAGTTATATAACTTGTGAATAAAAAAGTCTACAATAAAATTACCAATAAGTAAATTCTTTGAATATGCTTATTTTTATAAATTTATGAAAACATTATCTATTGATTCTAAATAATGAACACATTTTACAATGAATTCTAAGACTAGTCTATGTTATAATAAATTTTGAAATAATGTCAATTGTAATTAATATTAATTATGGATAACTAATTATCACTAATAATATATTCTCGTTTATTCGGCATTGGTTGTAAAAATAGTTTATAAATTCAATAAACCAATTGTTTCATTATTAGATAAAGTTTGTAAAAATATAGCTTTAATTGCTCGCGGTTACATTCTTATTCATGCATGTATTTTGTAATTATTTAAAGATTTAAAAAATAATTTTTACGTTTAAATTATAATACGATGAGTGATCTCAAAATCAATATCAAAGACAAAGACATGGATCACTTGTGGAACAACTGTTCTCTCACTCATATATACGAGGCGTCGGTATTCCTGAAGACAACGCTGAATGACGTGCGATACCAATGGGCGCTCCAGTTTGTGGCGGACATCGAGTCAGAGCCGCCCTCACCCCTCAGCGCCTACATCTGTGTTCACATAATTGTAGGACAACTGGAATTCCATCGCAACTACTTATCGGCCGTTCATATAGTGTTTATGTATTACTGGGATGTGGTCCGCAAAGACAATATAATAAACAAAGTATTACTCGATTTGAGTAATAGTTTCCAAATAGAGAACACATTTATCAGAGAAACCATTATTAGAGCCGAAATGTGTTTAAAGCGAATCGAGAAAGAGATGACAACTATAGCCACGACTATCAACACCGCGAATGTCATAGTCTGGAGATATTGGGAGGAATTAAATGAAATAAAACTTTGGTCTAACGATCACAATATAAATAGGGTTTCTCACAATAATTACAATCAAGTCTTAAACATTAATCACATTTTATAACATTTCAAAATAAACAAAGTTTCCAAAAATATTACAATTAATGATAATTTTTAATTAAATCCAATTAAAAACTTTGATACAAAATTCGCACAATTTTAATATTTCTCAGTAATCGTAGACATAATAATACACTTAAATTAAATGATTATAACTATTGATTTATACTGTAATAACTACTATCATATAAATTGACTGAAGTGTGAAAATTGTTCCAATTGTTGGAAAGGTATGGAGTTTTTGGTTACGAGTTATGCCTGATCTTTGAAGGCCTCCTCGATCTCAGCTAATCTCTTCTCCATTTCGTCCTTCTCTTTGCGTGTCTTTCCCTTTTCGAACTTAACCTTCTCTTCGGGTGTCATATCAGGCAATACTTTGGTCACCACTCCTGTGGCGATAGTATTACTGCGATCCCTGATAGTGAACCGATCGCCCTGTTCCATGATCATTGGTCTCAGCATCTGGTCATCAGATACGACAACAATATTAGATTCAATCACTAATATCGGGACAAACAATTCAAACCTTAACACTGACTGACGAGTCCTCTCCGGGAAGCATCATATCCTTGCCTTTAGCCACGAGTTCGCCCACACAGTCCCATGTCTTGCAGTAAATGACTGCTCTCTGGGTGTTGAGGAAGGGTCGGGGGGAACCGCCCTCTTCTTTCTTCAGCATATAAATCTGAGTCTCGATTTGATCGCAGGGTTTGAATGTTCCGGGTTTTCCTAAAGCCATTCCACGCCTCACCTGATCTCTCTTAAGACCCCTGAGAAGTGCCCCTAAGTTATCGCCGGCCACCGCCTCATCCAATGTCTTCTTAAACATCTCAATACCGGTAATCACCGTCTTGTGAGACCTCCCGTATCCCAATACTTCACATTCAGCGCCTTTTTTGAGTCGACCCCTATCTAAACGCCCGGTGACTACAGTTCCTCGGCCTTGGATTCCATAGATGTGTTCGATTGGCATTAGAAATGGTTTATCGATGTCTCGAACGGGAAGTTTGAAGTATTTATCGATCGTTTCCAACAATTTGATGATAGAATCGCGACCTAACTCCGGAAGCTTTCCCTCCATGGCTGCCAACGCAGACCCAAAGATGAAGGGCACGTCATCGCCGTTGTAGCCAATCTCCGACAACAGTTCCCTTAACTCCATTTCCACCAATTCGGTCATCTCCTTGTCCGCGGCGTCCACTTTATTCACATAAACAACAATGTCGTCGATTCCTATCTGTTTGGCTAAAGTCAAGTGCTCTCTGGTCTGAGGCATAGCGCCATCAGTGGCCGCCACCACAAGAATAGCCGCTTCCATTTGGTTGGCGCCGGTGATCATGTTCTTGATGTAGTCGGCGTGTCCGGGACAGTCCATATGAGCGTAGTGCCGGTCCTCCGTCTGGTACTCCACGTGCGCTTAAGAGTCAATCAATGGTCAGTAAGACTGGCTACAAGTGATGGCAGTGGATGTGGTGATGACAGTGACCGCAGACCTGTATTGATGGTAATGCCTCTCTTGCGCTCTTCGGGCGCGTTGTCGATCTCGTCGTACTCCTTGACTTTGGCCAACTTCTTCTCGGCCAACACTTTGGTGATGGCCGACGTCAAAGTGGTCTTCCCGTGATCCACGTGTCCAATGGTTCCGATATTCATGTGCGGCTTATCTCGTTTGTAGAGTTTGGGTCCACCCGGCAGTGGGGGTCCCGATGACAGACACCTCTGCCACGACACGCATCCCATCGACAGGTATTTCCTGAGCCAAGTGCTGCTCAGTCCGTGTCTCAGACACAGCATCGCTGAAGACATGTCTGGCCGCAGTTCACGTGATTATCTGTTCAATGAATGGACAAACATGTGATCAAAACAAACATTGCATCAGATATTGGCGTAAATCGTGTCAAATGTGGGCAACAAATGA